GGCATTTTGCCTGCGTAAGCTCGTGCATCAGCAAGGAGCTTCGTACGGCGCGGAGTATCAAGGATAGTTCGAGAGGCTCTAGGGCCCTGGGGAGAGGGAGGATTTGAACAATTGCCATCAGCAGGGGCACGCCGGCGACGAGGGAGCTCTGTAGCCATTTTAGAGTTGATTCTGACTTGTGGTTGTGGAGTTGTTAGTAGTTGAAGTTTTGATGGGTAGAAATGTAGAATCCTTAACTGCATAGAATTTTGGCACGGAGCTTCGGCCCCTGTCAAACCAGATACCGCCCTTCATGAGTCCTTATGATTTGGACCCTTCAATTACCCAAGGACCAGAACCTCGGAAACTGAGCCATATTGAATCAGGTCCACCTGGGTCGGACTTTGATCGCCAAGTTCACGACCCGCCTCGCCCGCTACCGCTTGCAAACGCCCCATTGGGGCTAAATTGGGTGCCTCGTCGAGGGTACTCGACACAATCAACGACAAGGGAAGGTTGTGAGGACCTTGATGAATATAAGCTCCTAGAAGCAGAGGTCGAGCAACGCTCTCGTAAAGCTCTTGTTGGCTGGAAGCTCACGTCTCATTCTATTGAACAGTTGACAACACTGCCTGAGAAAATCGACCATCCTGGAGCTGAGAGGTATATCGGCTCAGAGTTGAAGGGCTATCCTAAGTATCTATGGGATAGTAGCACTGGTACCACGGTACTAGCAACAAATGACATGTACAACGAAGGGTATGTTGCTGTATCATACACATGGGGACGATGGAGGCTTGGGAGCGATAATTGGTATTGGGTGAAAGGGACACCATGGGAGGTACCCTCCCTTACGGACTGGAATCCTGATTTTCCAGATCTGAAATGTCACCTTAATATGGCACAATTGACAGATATCTTGCGCCGGATGCCAAATGTCCGATACTTCTGGATCGACGTGTTGTGCATTCCCCAAAAAAAGTCAAGTCCAGAGATGGCAAATGTGAAGGCAATAGAGATTGCGAAACAAGGCGCGATCTTCAAAAACGCTCGAAGTGTACTCGTATATCTTTGGTCCATCGATGATGGAGCACAATTTGCAGCAACCATGAAAGAGCTGAGCGCTATGATGCGCTGGTATTGGCAGATCATGGTTTCTCAAGACTTCCAGGCAACGACAAAACACAATGGTCGTAAACGTTGTGACGACAGCTCCGGGCCAAGACTTCGAGAGGATCCATGGTTCTCCTCACTTTGGACGCTTCAAGAGATGATTCTCGCACCTGCTTCGGTTTGGATTGCTCGAGATGGTTCACATTGCCGACTGAACAATAATGAAGTTCTGACAACGCATACAGTAGCCGATAAATTTCATGACTTTCCCGTTCGAGAGGCTTATTATGATTCCCTTGGCTGCATGAGTCTCGATCCATCACGCGACTATGTCCAATCAAACATCCCTCCGAGTGAGAACAAGTCCAGAGAAGTCATGCGAAGGTGGCTCAAATGGGCTTTTCAGACAGCTTCCATCACCACCTGCGTCGTCGAGTCACGTGGCGGCATGGTTCTAGCTACTTTGGAGCGAAAATATAGTCAACGTCGTGAAATGGCCGTACTAGCAGCGCTCAAGGTTGGCAACGACAAAGGGTATGACAAACAATCCGAAACAGTCAATGGTTTAGCTATTGATCTTTGGAACACATTGATTCAAGCTGAAGGTGGACGGCTTTTTGACGTTTCCCATACCTCGAGCAGCCTCTTGACGAACATGCTCCCTTCGCCTTCTAGACATGTGAGTCAATTCCGGGGCATACGTGCAACATGCGACGGTTGGGAGTTGAGAGGGAATGGAGAGCTGAAGGTTGCTCGGGGGAGCAAGATCAATCAACCTTCCAGGGAAGGAGGAACGGAATACCGATTCCATAACAGAAAAACCTTTGGGGGTAGTCCGGAAGGGACTGTGAGGAAGCACATTTGGGAGTCATCGGGAAAGAAGATTGAAGTCAGGCACGTCAGGTTCATACTAATCGGCAATGACGGCTCAATAAACCCGTTCAATGAAAGTAAATTCGCAGGAGCCCTGGGCGTCATACTGGTCACCACGTCAAACGATATTCATAGTATGGATTGCCTGTGGTATAAGGCAGGGATGTACTATTCCACAGACTATGAGACTGAGCTTTTGGACCACGATATCATCGTGGGCGCATAGATTACTACAGGGTCAAGTACCGCCAAACGACTTCCAAGGCATGGGAATCATCTTTGCCTCCTAGCGTTGTGATTATGACCGAATGAGGTTTCATATGATAAACTAAGGCTGCTAATCATGACTTATAAGAGCAAGAAAGAATGTTCAACATCAGGAAGTTACCAAACGAACATGGACATTTGAATGCATACGCAGCAAGGGTGCGGGCAAGATTTAAGCGACTGTCTAGTGCCAATGACACTGTGAAATAGTTGGCGGTGGTAGACGGCTACAGCCTAACATGAAAAAGTAAACAAAAACTGAGTTCAAAATGGGTGTGAAAGAGTGTTGATTCTACTAATGTTTATTTAGCGTCTTTTGTGTACCAATTCCTCTTATCCTTGGCGCATGGCGCCTGCCTGGTAAACACAGGGTATCCCTGCCCTGTAGGTGTATGACAGATAGTCTCTATAATACGTAAAGAGGTGTAAGTTTAACTTTTAAAAAGCCTTCCTTCTCCCCTCTGATATAGATAACATCAACTAATATATAGTATAAAATTAAGCGACGAGAAGCAAGGGAGTATCTGACTTGATTAGACGGCTAGACTATATAAGCTATAAAGAATAAATTGATTAGTTAATAATTAATTAATATTATCCCTTGTGACCCCGATTAACCCCTGTCGTGGGTGTCCTTCCTTATAGAGTTTAGCGTTAAGAGGTACCCGTGTTTAGCGGTGAGGTTATTTCTGCAGCCTTGGCATTAAGAACATCAAAATTATTAAAGTTATATTCTAAGAGAACATCAAAAGTTAAATTGCTTGCATTAGGCTAATCATTAGAGTTATAAATTTATAAATAGTATTATTTAATATCTCTTAAGATTCTCTACCTAAATATGTTATTTTTATTTCTATAATAATAGGAATTAACTAGAAACAAAAAAAATAGTAAAAAGGAACCATTTTTTAAAAGATATATTCTTTTATAACTTATTAATTACTAAGGTTATAAATCTACTTTAGGCTTTTCCTAGAAGTCTATAAGCCAAGTAAGATAATATTCTTCTTCGAAATTTATATCTTATATAATAATAGAGTTAATTTATAAAATAATTTTTTTAAAAACTACTAATATTTTACCTTTTCTAATTTTCTTCTATTAATAATAGCATTATTAAATTAAAAATTATATATTTAGATAGAGCATCTGAAGAGCTATAAAATGATACTTTTTATACATTTATAACTCTAATAACTAGCGTAATGCAGCTAATTTAACATAAGCATTGGAGTTATAAATCCTTTCACATCTAACGAAGTTGTGTTCTTAACGCCAAGGCTGCAGCAGACTCCTATAATTTTGATGTTCCTAATGCCAAGGCTGCAGAAATAAACTCACCACTAAACACGGGTACCTCTTAACGCTAAACTCTACAAGGAAGGACACCTACAACAGGGGTTAATCAGGGTCGCAAGGGATAGCTAGATATAACTAAGATTATAATAATCTGATTAGATTAGATGCTATAATACTATACTAATTTAATAATCTCTTAATAGAATATATTAAGTCTATCAATTCTTTAATAAAAAAGTATAATTATTTAATATTGCTATTACTATATTAGTCTTAATCATTTATATATAAATAATTATAATTCTTTAGTCTTAATTTATCTTAAGTAACTATTATTATATTAAAAGTGAATTAGTTTAAGATCTTAATTAATTTTAGATTTATTTTATAATATATCTATATTATATTATATTATGTTAGAATAATAGACTATATGTTCCCCGCAGTGTAAAGCATGCGCTAAAAGACTAGATTACTAAGGGAATTCTACAGGAATTATCCTTATAAGGTTTATAATTATCTTATACATTTTATACCGTTTAGCATTCCTAATAATTATCCCTCTCTCTTAAGGCTTACATTTTTATAAGTCATATTCTCTAGCAGCCCTATATGCCTTATTACTTTATAAATCTTTAGCTATAACAATAATTAGAATATTACTTATATATAGTATTATAGCACATAAATACGCTAAGCATAAATAGACATTACAGAGCTGCCTAGTACTCTATAAAGGAACTATAATAGACTTAGATAAGACTAGACCCTAAACTATATATATAGTTAGACCTAGACAAATATAATAATTAGAGGTAATTAGGATAAGCACTTATAAGTAATAATTAAAGGTAATTAGAATAAGCACTTATAAGCAATAATTAAAGATAATTGAAATAATTAACTTTAAGTATAAATCTTTTACTCTATCCCTTGTGACCCTAATTAGACCCTTATAATAGCCTCCTGTTATTAGGAGTATAACGTTTAAGATTAAATAGTTTAAACTCATCTTTAGTGTCAGAATTATGCTGCAGCCTTAGTATTAAGAACATTAAACTAAATAACAAGAGCAGAACTTTAATTAGTTATATTAGGCTAATTATTCTAGCTATAAATCTATAATAAGTTATTTAGATAAAGATTTATTAAGGCTATTAAACAATGCTACTTATAGACTTATAACTCTAATAATGAGTCTAATATAGGCAAATAATGTTTTATCTTAATTATAAAAGTTTTAACGTTCTTAATACTAAGGCTACAGCATAATTATAATACTAAAGATGAGTTTAAATTATTTAATCTCAAACGCTATACTTTTAATAATAGAAGACTATTATAGGGGTCTAATTAGGGTCATAAGAGATAGCATATAAATACACTAAGTACAGATAGGCACTACAGAGTTGCCTAGTACTCTACAAAGGAACTATAATAGACTTAGATAGGATTAGACACTAAACTATATATATAGTTAGACTTAGACAAACATAATAATTAGAGATAATTAGAGTAAGCACTTATAAGTAATAATTAGAGGTAATTAAAGTAAGTACTTATAAGTAATAGTTAAAGGTAATTAAGATAATTAAATCTAAGCATAAATCTTTTACTTTATATGAACATACTTATGTTAAAGTACTATCTTATAAGAGAATACTATTTATCTATTATAGTCCTATTCTTGCCTGTCTAAATCTATCTAGATTTGGCAGTACTGCCCTTTTTAAGTATAAAAGTAAGCTTATTAATTAGGGGTAATAAGTATAAAGCTAGTCCTTATTAATCTAGATTAATAAGTCTATTAATATAGCGCTAGGCCGCTTTAGAAAGTTAGCTATATATGTATAGCTAATTTTCTTAGTATTAGCTACAGACTAATAGTGCACCTGCGCTTGCTACTTGTATACTTAATCTGCAGCTATATTAGTTATAAGTTTTAATACTCCTACTTAAGTGTGTAGTTAAACAAGTAATTATAACACAAATATATAAGAAATAAAAAGATATTACTATCTTATATCCTCTTATAATGTTTACCTAAAGAGGTAAACATAACACAAGTAACATAGAACCTGCTATAGAAAGTAAAAGAATAAGATAATATATAATAATATCAGATGAACAAACTAATAAACAAAACTAAATATAACATATCTTAGGAGACAAAAACTAAGAAGGCAAAGAGCAGAAACAGTAGTACTATTAATATAGCAAATACAGAACTATAAGGTACTTTAAAGACACTTTCTTTAAAAATATAAGGGCAAATAATAAAGAAAACATTATAATTTTCTAAGAATATTATTAATAAAGGCAGAGAATAATAGCCTAATCTTAAAAAGGAAAAAGAATAAGATATTATAAATTAGACTTTATAAGTTACCTCTTTTTTAAGGACCTTAAGACTAAGAAGATAAAAAAAATATTAAACTTAGTATTTAAGAGACTCTTTATATAATTATTTATCGCCTCTAGTAAGCTTGCATTAGACGTCTGCTACGTAAGGCAGATAGGACAAAGAGCTTCTACCTTCTTATAATGTCTGATATAAGTACTTATATACGTAAAGAAACTAAAGGAAGCTCATACTTAGGGGCAAGTGGCTGCTCAAAACCGCGTTAGTTAGTAACTAGTTATAAGTAGTAAAGACTCTTTATATATATTAATTAATAAATAAAAAGAAAGATCTAGTTTATAATAAATAGTTATAAATTCTCTTTTCTTATTCTAATGAGTTTTAACTAATAAAACTAGTAATAAGCTACTCCTTAACCTATAATAAATATATAAAAATTTTAAAGAAATATAAGTTACAGAGACTTTAATAAAAAAAGTATAATATTAATAAAATATAAGTCTTAATAACTTTAGTAGAAAGTATAGTTATATAAAAGGAACTACTTGGAATAGAAATAAGGGCTTTATTTTATAATTATAAAAGTGAGTTCTAATAAGAGATATGCCTTTCTTTTATAGATTTTCTTTTACTAATTATAAAATATACTTATAATAGTTTATTAATTTAATAATTATATTTTTTTACTTATTATAAAATTAATTATATAATAATCTATTAATTTAAATTTATATAAGAGACTTTTAATTATAAATTAATACTTAATAATTTACTTAGTTATAATAAGTTTTAATATATATAAAAATAAGATTAATTAAAAAAAAAAAATATAAAAATATAAAAGATTATAATAAAAAGTAATTATCTTAAAAAGCAAAAAGAAGAAAAGAGGAGATTTATTAGATAAAAGTCTAGCCTATAATACTAGATTTATAACCTAGTATAAAGAGTTAGTAAGTTATAATCTTCTATAAAGAGATACTAAGGGACAGGATAGACTTGTTACTTACGAACTTTCTTACCTTAATATTCTTCTTAGAGCGACAGGATATAACCTTGCTTTCGTTAACTATAATCACTATAATAGCAGAAAAAGACTTTCATTTTTATAGATCAAATTATATAGCGCGAAGAGATGCAAAGAGTTATAAGGTAGTACTTAAGGTTGCGATTATACTCTTCTTAGTAACCTAGATCACAAGTACAGGCACTATAAAGGCTCTCTGTCCGACCCTGGGGAACTACTGCCCAGGAGACGTGCCGAAACCAAGATGTCTGTACGTTTTTGCCCTTGAAAA